AGGAAAAAAATAAAAATAAAAATAATCTAACATTACATATGGGCCAGAGTGTGCTGAAATGGAGCTAACAAAATGAGAAAAAGAAAGAAAAAAAAAAAAAAAATTGCGAGCTGTGGAATTAATAAATGGAATGGAACAGTTGAAAAATGAAATATGCCTATGGTGTTTATACATATGATATACGTAGTAATATAGGTCTATATTATAAAATTAATGAATATACATATGTGGCTAACAATATCTACTAATAATTAACTATTTTGTATCCAACACAAATACTTCACGTGATTGCAGGAGTGCAAAGAAAATAGCTTTTCTTAGCTTACAAACAGCCCAGAATGAAAGAAAGTGCAGTATACATCATATTTGGCTTTTCTTTCTTGGCCAAAGGCCTTCTTTACTTCACTTTAAGTCTTTTAACAGACTTAAGAAGGACCATCCACTTATCATTTTATGTCTCATCAGTATTTGTGGAAAGTTAGAACTTGGTAGGTTTGGACTTTGTAAGTTACCCATATGATATGAAATGTCACACACACACACACACACACACAAATATCAGGGACTTGTCGTGCCTCAAGGCTCAAGTTATCTTCTATAGTTCTATGTACAATCAATCTCAGGACTTGGAGGCACCCACTGATGACTGATCATGCCTGTCCCACAAGACTTGAATGTGGTATGCATTTTATTCGGATTCGATCCTTGGGGCTTATTCAGAAGTTTCCAATTTTTCACTTAGACCTTCAGTACTAAACCAAATTAAAATTCTTTTAACCTTTTTTATTTTTTTTTTATTTTTTAAATTTATATCAAGGTGTTTCTAATCGAACAAAAAATATTCCCAACCCAGCCTCCAAACTAGTTTTGTTCAATGATATTATCTGCTTCTGAAAAAGATTTTGGTTGTTTTTGTATATAGCACATCCTCTAGGACTATGAGATTGAGTTGGGATCTTGCTTTGCTGTAATAGTATCATGCAGTATAAAATGTGATTGCTTGCACACACGCATAAGCGATCATAGCACGCTGTCCCTTACTCTTTTCAGTTGAGGATCGATATTTCATGAGATAACCTCATAGAATATTTACCTCTCGTGCTGGGAGAAGCTAATTGGGACTCAAGTTTGCAAATCATGCATTTGGGTAATTATAAAAAATAGGTTGAATATGAAATATCTTATTTTTAAATCACCCATCTCGTGAACCGGTTGGACTTTTCATGTGAGTCGGTGAAAAATAGTATAATATTAGAAGCAAATTATTATATTGTAGGTATATATGTTTGTAATGTCAATACTAAGATTCATAGAATTGATACCCTAAAAATTAATTATCATATCCATATAAGATAAAGTAATATTAAAGGTCTGTTGTAAAGGTTAACATTACAGTTCGTTGTGATAGTAATGGAATACCGGATACATAGGAGATGTAACCGTTTGTGTGTGTGTGTGTGTGTGTGTGTGGGGCATTGATCATACCAAGATGTTTTAGTTGGTGGTGTTAATGTTGGTCAGAGGGAGAGAGAGAGAGAATCACATGATGATCTCATTATAAGAAAGGACGACAAATCACATGATGCTTTAAACTACAAATGGGAAACTTCTTACACTCCTGTCTGCCTACATATGTATGTCTATATAATAAACTATGTGGGTATTGTCAATTTTCTCCCCAGGCCTAGCTTTAACCTATACCTACCTACTAGCTGTGCCCCATCTCATTTATTAATTCATTCCTCAATCCATTGCCATCTTTTATTGGTTGGAGTTGTTACTACTAATTAATACTCTTACCCAAACAAGCACTTGAATTACCTGTATGGATATAAGTTAGAACAAACCTAAAATTTGGCCCAAAAGTTGGAATAACAATTCGGTGTTCTATATTGTTTCAGCCCATCTTTTTTACTGTAGCAAAGGTTAGAGGAAATTTTTTATTAGGGCAAATCATCTCAGCCTCCAATCGCCTTCGTCTCTATTCTCGTTCTCAACTCTGGAACTTGCTCCCTCTCTCTCTCTCCGCAACTGCAAACACAAAATCTACAAGGATCGGAAGTTCAAAATGGGCCCTAAGCAATACTCGATCTCTCTCTCTCTCCAACTGCAAACTTGTATGGGTTTTGTTTTAATTTTTTTTAGGGCAAATCATTTCAGCCTCCCAAACGCCTCCATCTTTATTCTCGATCTCTCTCTCTGCAACTGCAAACTTGTATGAGTTTTGTTTTAATTTTTTTTAGAGCAAATCATTTCAGCCTCCCAAACGCCTCCATCTTTATTCTCGATCTCTCTCTGCAACTGCAAACTTATATGGGTTTTGTTTTAATTTTTTTTAGGGCAAATAATTTTAGCCTTCCAAACGCCTCCATCTCTATTCTCTCTCTCTCTATCTCTGCAAGTGCAAACATGTATGGGTTTTGTTTTAATTTTTTTTAGGGCAAATAATTTCAGCCTTCCAAACGCCTCCATCTCTATTCTCTCTCTATCTCTGCAAGTGCAAACATGCATGGGTTTTGTTTTAATTTTTTTAGGGCAAATCATTTCAGCCTCCCAAACGCCTCCATCTCTATTCTCGTTCTCAACTCTGCAAATCCAATTTTAGGGCAAATCATTTCAGCCTCCCAATTGCGCGCCCTAGTCTCTCTCTCTTTCTCTCTGCAATTGCAAGTCTGCGTGTATGGGTTTTGTTTTAATTTTTTTTTCTAAATCAACTAATCAAGCTCTATAATTCTTGTTTTGCAAACTCATCAAGTGAAGTAATTAATTTATTTTAATTATTAAAAATAATAATAATAATTTCTATTTCAAAATTTTCAGAGCAAATTTTCGTCGCCAAACATGTTTTGTTCTCCTTTCAGAACACTACACCACACAATACTTGTTCTGTTCTAGGCTAGAGTGTTACACTACACCACACAACACTTGTTCTGTTCTAGGCTAGAGTGTTACACTACACCACACAACACTTCCCAAACGGGCCCTAAGAGTCTGTGAATGTGGAGAGAGAGAGAGAGAGAGAGATCTTGTTAATTTTAGTCTGTGTGATGAGAGGTTGGAGGATTAGCAGCAGCATTCTCATCAAATCCCAATTTTCACCAATTTCAATATATCCTTGTTTGTTTTCTTTATCCATAGAAAATTCAAGCACGAATATTGGTGGTTCCCCATAAAATCACTAGTTTTGGTGTAGGAAATTTTTTTTTATGTTGCGTTTCAGAATATTGAATCGGTATTATGAATTTGTCAATTCGATATTCCCAAACGTTGCATTAATTTTTCAAATTAGCGACAAGAGCTTGCAACGCCATATCTTTTGGCTTGTCTTTTCAATATTAAGTTAGAAGTTGTGGCCATATTCAGGGGTGCAAAAAGAATTGATGGAATTGATAGAACCGAAACCGGTGCTTCAATTTCAGTTCCTAACGGTTCTGGTTTCTATTCTAATACTCCGAAATTGAAACCGTTAGGAACCGGAACCGTATAATAATTATATGTATTATGTTTTTAATTACCTATTGATGTCTACAAAGAGATATATACAATAAATGTATATTCTCATTTACAATATTATATATCAAAATCCACTAACGAATTTAGAGTCATTAAATTATTATTATTATTATTTTATAGAAAAAAAAGCAACCGAAACTAGAATTGTGAGACCGATTCCAATATCTAGGAGCCGCCGTGTGCACCCATAGCCAGATCAACAACACACATACCAAAGGACCTCGACTGGTTTAATGGTCTCTAATGAGAGTGTGTTTACTTTAACTCTAAATAATAATAAAAAAAAAATGAACAAGCTAGTACTAAGTATACCCACAAGAATAATACGTTGTTGTTGTTGTGTGTGTGTATACATATTCTGTAGGTTTCATATGTCCAATCTCACTAAAGGATGTAGAATGTGAACTTGGTCAAAAGTCTCAGTGTTACATCATTCTACAAGAGAGTGTATGAAATACATATATATGTACTTTGTAATTCAAGTTTTTGTTGATATGTCAAAACCTGAACCAGAGATAGAGTAATCTGAACAACTGTCTATAGGAAGATTGAGTGTATTACACGATCAATCAACTTGTCTTTTCTTTTCTTTTCTTTTCTTTTTTTCTCGGAAAGATGGTTAGAGAATTGAGGGTTTTAAAGTACTTCAATAGCTGCTAAGCCTTGCTAACATCAATAGACCTAATCAGTTATATCATACAACAATGTATCTGTCATTATCAATCCTAACTGACACACAAAAGTGTGTGGAGTGTTATCCCACACAATCTTGTGTGTTTAAGCTACATTCGCGACGAAGCTGCATAGAGTCTGAGATTTGTAGTCTTAACCTTCTATTTTAGAACGTGAGATCAAACTAATTGCGCATAAGTTATTTTCACTAATATCCAAGAACATAGAATTGACCAACAGTAACGCACTGGTTTTATTGTTACTATTTTTTATTACATGTAATTATTATTGCTTCTACTAAAGATTATTAATCTTTGCTCATCTTTAATTAGGCTCATTTACTCTTGGTTCTCTTGAAAGGTCATTTATTTACAACCTACGCCATTTAGTTCGTTCGTTTATTATCACGATAGTGCCAAATTTGTTTTGTTTTGATGTTTTTTCTTTTCTAAGAATCATGAATGGAATCTAAGATTTAACATATTATATTCTATAAATGTAACAGCAGACAACAAAACTCTCCTATCCAGAATCTAAGTCACTTCAACATCCCATTTCAGATCACGTAGTTCAACAAGCCCTCACATCTAATTCTACTACTTCAGACCCCAGACCCCCTGTAGCTTCATCAGTTCATTGGGAGACCCATCTCTCTCTACCCCCTCTCTCTCTCTCACACACACACACACAAACATGACATATCCATACATAATGCATCTGGTTACCCGAACAAGCCCAATGCCTGTCACCACAGAGACACTGTAAAAGTTGCTAAATAATAGCTCTTCATTGACTCAAAAACCAACATGGTCCAAATGCATTTTAGGGCAACCTACTTTCTTTCATACCCACATTCTACTTACTGCAGTCTCCATGAAATGTTACATCGACAACATTAAAATCATCCCTAGCTAGCTACTTTCCAACAACATTTCAAATTCTAAATCTAACACCAAGTTTACATAGATGGCAAAATATTAGTAGTTTTTTTTTTCTTCAATTCTTCAATGGAAGGAACTCAAAAAACTGGTAAGGAGTGTAGTTAGCATTCATGTCGGCCCCCGATATCCCGGCCTCCTTCTCGGAACCATTCTCGTCCCCATTGCCGCTCCGGAGTGGAAACAATTGAAGGGTTTCGTGAGATTCCCCGCAGCTTAGGTTTACTTGGCCGGAGTGATCGCTGTGGTTGCCGTTGAGAATGTGATTAAGCACTTCATCTCTGTAGGCAGGTGATGTAAAGATGTTCAGATCTTGAGTCGTATTTATGATGTTTGGGTCCATTGTTGTTACTGGAATGGCAGTGGTGGTAGTAGTGGCAGTACTACTAATAGTGTTGGTGTTTATGAGGTAGGTGGGAGGTGAACATGAAGACAAATGCATCATCTGCCACGTGGCATTCCTTTCTACCAAGCTCCTTCTATGCTGTAATTCTCTCTCATCGAATTGTATCCATCCATCTGTTCCTGTTCTACATTCTGGTGGTACTGCTGCTGCTGCTTTTGCTGCCCTAATTTGTAATGAAACAGTCTTCTGAAAAAAAATTAAAGTCATTCAATTAATATATATATATATGTATGTATGCATATGTATATGTATATGTATAAGTACTACTTAAATGAAATAATTCAATTTCCTTCATGAATCTATATAATTAATATCAATTAACTAACTAAAAAACACAGTGATCCAAAAGAAGGAAATTAAATTTAGCTAGCTAGGTTAGCATTAATTGCCTTGCCTTTTGTTGGGTATAGGAGTGTCTTCTGGTTATTGAAATGTACCATTATACAAAATCCAACTCAAACAGTACCAAACAGAACAGTACTAGGTCAACTAAATTACAACCCCATCTACTGTGGGTAAGTTATGTTCATGAGTAATGGTAATTATGCTTCTGAAACTGTACTAAGCCAATGAGAAAGAAAAATGACAACAGATACACTATTTCATGTGAATTTTCATCAATATATATGTTAATTGGTCACTTTTCTATTGATTTGGTTATTGGGATTATTTTTTATTTTTTAAAAAATATTTTCCTATATATATATAGGAATATATATGGTCCAAATGAGATGAATAAGCAGCACAGGAGTCAAAAACCCTAGTTGAATTTCATAAGAACAATAGACCCGACAAAAAGGAAGAAATGCAGCTTTTAGGTCATTTCTATTTCCCAACAAAAGGCCTTTCTTTTGCATGATCGATTGATCGTATCCCTAAAATAATAGATATAATATATAGTTGCATAAACATGGTAATCATATGGGTATTATATGGATGATTAATTGATTCTAATGATCTTTTTGGATATAGATATATGTGTGGTATTCTGAGCTTGTAAAAAAGAAGATTGTGTCGGTCTACAAAGAAAGACAAAGGAAGATAAATTAGACCTGATCTGTGTGTGCACTGCAGTTTGTAAGATGTACCCAGTTCTTGGTCTCTTCACCTTCAAGACCTGTCCTATTTGCCCCTGTTTGTGTGTTGACAAAAAGAAAAACAAAAAGACTTCAACTTTATATCTCAAGCATACAACAAACGGAATGCTAGTAAAAAGCATTCCAAATCAAACTCATATACAATTTTTTTTTTTTTTTTTTTTTTTTTTACATCCCAAAAAACAAATAATACTTCACACACACACACAAAAAGAAAAGTAAAACAAATATTTTGAATTTCACACACACATCTAACATGAAATCTTACATGTATATATATCAATTTCATGAAAAAGATAAGTTTAGAGATTATATATATGGTGTGGGTTTGTTAATTACCTGGTTCTTTCTTTTGATCTGTGTTCTCTAAATCACATGAGTATTGTTCATGATCAGAAGCTGATTCAAGTTGACGGCGTCGTTTCTGCCTTTCTCTGGCCTTGTGATTCTGAAACCAGTAGAAGACATTCTTGCCTTCAATCTTGCCGTATCGACGGAGCTGTGCAGTGATGTGCTGAATCTGCTCGGCGGAGGGCGTTCGAGTCCCCCGTCGATACAATTCTTCCAGTGTCTGTAACTGCTCCGGCGTTGGGTTCCAACGAGAGCTCACCACTACCTGCTGTTGCGTGCTCAACTCTCTCTTACTTTGCTCAGACATGGTTGCTGACACAAACCAAAAAATAAAAATAAAAACACATCAAAATCATCCATATTGATACATTTATTCACATACAAACACATATTAACAATAACAACTCACACATGCCAAAATTAATAAACACAGAAGCATAGTACTTCATCATCATTATTAATTTTCATATGAATGGTCGGTTGTCTACAAAGACACCAACCCACCACTTTTTAACCTCCTGCAGTTGGGTACCGGCAACAAGAGAGTATATTATAGATAGAGATACATTACCCAAGTGGTGATTGAATGCAAGAAGATGATTGCTTCCATGGATGCGGCCAAAACCAGCTGGAGGGTTTGTGGCGGCAGTGTTGTGGGTAGTGGGTGATTTTGGAATGAGAGGACGGAGCTTGCGGCTGTTGAATGAATCAGGCATGTTGTTGAACTCTACACCATCATTATATCCCATCATCCACATTGTTATGTGTTAAAAGACAAAAGTAGGATGAACTCTCTGTCTCTCTCCTCTTTCTCTCTCTAGATCTCCAACTGATGGGTTCAATTCATTGAGCTGAATGAAGAGTTTTTTTTTTTTTTTTTTTAAAAAAGTTGGAGTAGTACTATTAGTGGTGGAAAGAAACCGTGTAAGTGGCGGTGTAACAAGAAAAGGGAAAGATGATGGTGCAAAAATGGGAAAAGAGCAAGGAGATCATGAGAATGGAGGTGGTTTAAATAGAAGTATTTTTATCTCTAGTTCATACAATTTGGGAAGCGAAAAGGGTTGATATATGGTATGTGTTGATGCTAATAAATGGAGAGATTTTTAGTTGAAAATTTGGAAAAGGTTTGTATAAGATCTAGAGAGAGAGAGAGAGAGTGAATGAGAGAGAGAGAGGGGGAATGGTGTTGGTTTAAATTGGAACAAAGTGAGGAGTACATGAGGTTGACTGGGCTTAGCTATCATCTCTCTCATTCTCTGAGTCTGAGAGAGAAGGAAGAGAGAGAGAGTTTGTTTTTTTTTCTAGAGAGAGAAAGGAAAGGAAAATAGGAAAGGGAATTGAAAAAGAAAAGGGAGGCAGCAGGGGCAAAGGAAGAAGAGAAGGAAAGGCGTGGAATTCTGGGAGTTATTGGTATTGGTGAATGAAAAACGACGTGACGATGATGAGGGTTATCATAAGCCTCATCACCCTTACACCTTCATTTATTGTTCCTCTCCTGTCGAGTGCCTTTCACACTTATTCTCTATCCGAACTGCCCCTCTCTCTCTTTCTCTCTCTAGCTCTCTCGACATCTCTTCTACGTACGGCTCTCTTTGAAATTCCTTTTATACCCTCCAATACCAACCTTATCTGTGTTTAATCCCATCTACCCCTAGTGTCCACTCAATATACATCTATACATGCATATAAAATTACAATGTTTCATGCCCATATACTACTATATTGTATAATTTGTTTCATGTCCGTATGTATGTATGTGATCTTTGTCGTTTGCTTTACGCACAAGGGTGGAAGAATTCTAACACCTTTACGTGCTATCACAATTACTATGTCTCCTTTGGAATCTTCCCAGCTAGCTAGCTGCTGATCGTACATATACATGTGTATACTATACTATATGCTATATCTATATTATAGTATGCCCTCTTCCTTAATTCACTTTGATCTGTCACGTACATGTCCATGTCTCTAGCTACGTCCATGCCCACAACTTCTAGCTCTCTCTCTTCGCTATCATGATCGTATCATTCTAAATTCTAAAGCAATTAATGTGCCTCAGTGTCCTTCCTAGCTAGCTTCTCATTTTTAATTCCATTGTGTGTGTGTGTGTGTGTGTGTGTGTGTGTATAATGTGTTTATACATACTTGTTGGGTTGAGGGTGGGGTTAATTTGGATCTGAAGCCTAATCTCATATCTGGGAATTTAACAATATTTAATGCAGTCCAATCCATCTACTAGAAATATTAGGCTATTAGCCAGTTCTTCTTAGGTTATGCATTGCTGGGCAGAATTAAGAGAAACGGATGATTTTGAGCGTGCATTGTATAGATTAAAGGTTACAAGTTTGAAACAAGAAACAATTTGAGTGTACAACAAAATTTTCTTATACCTTCATGCCATCTAATACTTATTAAAAAAAAAAAATTTAGAGGACTCATAACAAGGTGTTATTGATTTTCAAATACATATTCGTATCTTTTAAGTAAATGTGTCAGATGTATGTTTTTGAAAAAAAATCATGTGAGGAGCTATCGAAATAAAACGAAGAATTTTTTTATTTTTCATAAATGTGCCTCAAGTAGGCCCTCAACTATGCAGATCTGGTCTTGGGCCAAGGAGTGGGACCTTCTCTCAGTGATGAGCTAACCTGCATACTACATAATTGGATTCAGCAACAAGTCCATGAAAAGATAATTAGAGATGTGAGAAGATGTCTTTTCAAGGGACCAAAGAAGAATGCAATGTCAAAAAGAGAAAGTACGGAGGATGAGTTTGTTTCTTTCTCTCTCTTTCTGCCTACCAAATAAGTCCTCTGTCTTGCTTGCAACCCCATGAATTTCAACTTCCACAAGTTGAATTATTTTGCAAGAATAGAAATGTCACATGTGGGTAAATGGATTATTTGTAATGAAAGGTTTTGTTATTCAAATGCATAAAAATATAAAGAAAAACTATACTCTAATGAACTAAAAACCCAAATCTAATTTTTAACTACAAATTTGTTGGAATCAACTTTTGAAATGGCTTTCGTATGGGGTTAGGAGGATGCATGGTTCTAACTCAAAGCCCAGTCCTTTCTCAAATGCCATTGGCCCACCTCTGATGTTACTGGAAGTCTGCAAGCATGTTAATATCAGAAGTTTTTGGACCCCAACCCGTATAAAGCAACTTTATGACTCTTGGCCCATTTTAATAATATCTGAAGTTTTGGACCCAATTCCGCCTAAAGCAACTTTATATGATTCTTGGCCCATATACCCAACAAACACGAAATTTTTTTTTTAATAGAGTACAACGGACAGAACAAAGCAAACACAACCAAAAACACGAGCAGAAAAAAAGGACATACGATTAATCAGATAACATGTAGTTGCTTCTTACTTGTGTTAGGCACTTTCAGCTCGAAGAGTAGAGCTTGGGTAACCTCCAAAAGATGCTGATTTTTGTGTGTTGTACGTCGCAGCGAAAAATATTTAGAAAGTTTTGATTATTTAAAAACAGATCTTGTATTTTTCTAACTTACTTTATTTTAACAATTAATAAATTAATATCATGCAATCTAAAATAAATCAAAGTAAAATTAGAGATGACACCAAGATTTTAGCGAGGAATCCCTAGTTGATAAAATACGTTAACTGTTTGCATGTGAAAAACCTCGTGAACTATGCAGTCCAAAGTAAACTGATCCACTATGCTTGAAACAAAGTACACTGAACTTTGACTCTGGCTCACACCCTATCGTTCTACCAGACACCAACTGCTGACAATTCTCTCGCTTTGCGACTCCCCGTCCAACAACAACTTGACCTTAGTGTCACGGGCTTAGAGATTTGGAGCAGCGGCATGGCTCGTGCGGCACCAAGGCGTTGCTTCAGTTCGCGCAAGTGCTCTGGTCAGCCACTACGACCTGCCCTCCCAAGGATACATGCTGACTGGTTTCGACCTGCCTTGGTCTCATCAGGGGAACGACTCCAGCTCCCGACCAGTTTGTGCAGGGATGGCCAACTCCCTTCTTCATAGTCAAGTCCACGACTAGCGATAAGCACCTCGAACTGAATCGAGTCGACCTGCCTGAACTCTGAAGAGGTACCATCTTGTGGTCCTGCACGCCCCTTCCCTGGAAACATTCCCAGTCAAATTCTGCTCTTTGCCAACCAGCATGTGTGTTTTCCATCCTCCAAGCGTCTTAGGAATCACTTCGTGACACTCTCCCCCACCCAAATTCTGCGACGCCCTCGTCGCAGTATGGCGCTTCACTACTGCGTCCACTCCCTTCCAAAGTCTGCCTCCAAGCGGTATGCTCGTCTTCCCACCATTGCTTCCTTGTGCAGCTCTCTGCACTACACTCGCCCAATGATAGGCCTCGGACCAAGGGGACGTCTACTCCTCAAGGACGTGACTCTTCTCCGTCATGCCGCCTTCCCGACATCCCGAGTAAGCAAAGGCCTCCTGCTGACTTAATGCTCGCCCTTCAACACGGTTTGCATCACCCAAAGACTAAGCACGAACTTCCCTCTAGCCCTCCAGTGCGTAACTTCAACGGACGCCTCTTCCTGGGGAGATGAAGGCTCTCCCCCCAACTACATTGATTCCTCCTCATTGACGCAGCTTCAGTGCACCGTCTTCATTCTCTGACCTCTCCTGGACCGACAAGGGGGCACCTCACTGTGCTTTACCCCAAGTCTTGCTCTGATACCATTTGTCACGGGCCTAGAGATTTGGCGCAGTGGCACGACCCGTGCGGCACCAAGGCGTTGCTTCAGCTCGCGCAAGTGCCCTGATCAGCCACCATGACCTGCCCTCCCAAGGATACATGCTGACTGGTTTTGACCTGCCTTGGTCTCATTAGGGGAACGGCTCCAGCTCCCGACCAGTTTATGCAGGGATGGCCAACTCCCTTCTTCATAGTCAAGTCCACGACTAACGACAAGCACCTTGAACTGAACCAAGTCGACCTGCCTGAACTCTGAAGAGGTACCATCTTGTGGTCCTGCACGCCTCTTCCCTGGAACCATTCCCAGTCAAACTCTGCTCTTTGCCAACCAGCATGCGTGTCTTCCATCCTCCAAGCGTCTTAGGAATCACTTCGTGACACTAGGCTTATACTTGATCTTTGTAGAAGAGTAGCAAGTAGATCAAACAACACTCCTCGAATGCTCCAACCCTTTCAAAGTGTGATTGTTTTTACTTCTATTTTTCAATCGTCTGAATTCAATGTAGAAGTATATCTGATTTTGTCTGATCGATGTAGATGCAACTATATGATCACGATCAGGATTCGAACAACATAACAGAAAATTCTCTAAAAATTTTTGAGACAAAAAATCTTCCTAAGGCTTTTTTAAGAATAACAAACTGATAATGCAAAAGTCATTTTTAAACCAATGTATATGACAAGGTTTATATAGAGTATAGAATGACATAATCCCTCTGAAAATGTGGAAAAATTCGTGCAAAGGATTTGGTGCACTTATAGACCAACTGGGAAACAAA